GTGCAACCGAATGTACCATGCGCATGGTGCATACGGTTCAAAACGACGTCGTTTTGATTAAAAACGCGCGTCCCACTTAAAAAAAAAAATCAGGTTCGACTCTCAGCAATAGCATTATTGTGGATATATAGTTATGAAATTGTGGATATATAGTTATAAAATTGTGGTTATATAGTTATAAATTTATGGATATTTAGTTCATTCATTGTGGATATTTAGTTCAATCATATATTGTGGATATTTAGTTCATTCATTGTGGATTTTTACTTCATTCATTCATTCATTGTGAATTTTTACTTCATTCATTCATTCATTGTGGATTTTTACTTCATTCATTCATTCATTGTGGATTTTTACTTCATTCATTCACTGTGGATATATAGTTATGAAATTGTGGATATATAGTTATGAAATTGTGGTTATATAGTTATGAATTTATGGATATTTAGTTCATTCATTGTGGATATTTAGTTCAATCATATATTGTGGATATTTAGTTCATTCATTGTGGATTTTTACTTCATTCATTCATTCATTGTGGATTTTTACTTCATTCATTCACTGTGGATATATAGTTATGAAATTGTGGATATATAGTTATGAAATTGTGGTTATATAGTTATGAATTTCTGGATATATAAAAATGCTATTGCCGGGAATCGAACCTGATTTCTTCTTTAAATGGGACGCGCGTTTTTTTAATCAAAACGACGTCGTTTTGCAACCGTATGCACCTTGCAAGGTGCATTCGGTTGCACAGCATAATTTGCGGCAAATTATGCCCTGGACCCGTGTCCATAATGAATTGTGGACACGGGCCCAAAACGACGTCGTTTTTCAAAAAAAAAAAACGCTTCATTTAGTTTAAAAAAAAAAAAAATCGTGCGCGTTTTGCCGTTAACGGCGTTATTTTTTTTTTTTGGATTATGAATGTAAAGTTATGCCGTTATGAATGTATAGTTATGCCGTTATGAATGTACAGTTATGCAATTATGAACACAGAGCTCTAACATTATGAACTTACAATTATGAACATATATAGTGATAAAATTATGACCATGGAGCTTTAAAATTGTGAATATAGAGCTTCGAAGATTATGAATGTACAGTTATGGAGTTATGAATGTACAGTTATAGAGTTATGAATCTACAGTTATGGAGTTATGAATCTACAATTATGAGATTATGAATCTACAGTATGGAATTATGAATGTACAGTTATTGATCGAATTATGAACAAAGAGCTCTAACACTATGAACTTACAATTATGAACATATAGTGATAAAATTATGAACATAGAGCTCTAAAATTGTGAACATAGAGCTTCGAAAATTATGAATGTACAATTATGGAGTTATGAATGTACAGTTATGGAGTTATGAATGTACAGTTATGGAGTTATGAATGTACAGTTATAGAGTTATGAACGTACAGTTATGGAGTTATGAATGTATAGTTATTAACATATAGTAATAAAATTATGAACATATATTCCTATAACGAAGCGGTCTGAAATTAAAAAAAAAAAAAAAAAAAAAAAAAAAAAAAAGGATAACAGTGCCTAACGGCACTGTTACCCGTGTCCAGCAAGCATGCTGGACACGGGTCCAACGCATAACGATTGTCCAATTGGCCCACCTAAGAACTAGCCGTTAGTCCATATTAAATCCTATTAAACATCCTATTAAAGCCCATTTATCTACCTCATCCATAACCCTCCCAAATAAAGGCTACCTATTAAAGTCTCCCACTTATTACCCCACTAATAACCAAGTTAATACCTATTAACTACCCTACTAAATGGTCCAACGGACACTTTTGGGATGGGCTAGCTATAAAAAGGAGGAGAATACAAGAAGAATGGGGACCACTCATTCATTTACATGTGGGAGGACTCTCCCAAATACTACCACTCACTATTCTTTCATCCCCAAGAAGGCTCCATCACTCTCCCAAAGAGGATGCACTCTTCTACAACCACTCTCCACTCATCCAAGCAAGAAGACCACATGAAGAAGACTCCATACGGGAAGACTCCACCACTCTTCCATGCGTCAAGAAGCATACTCCATTTCCATGTACAAAGTATAGCTCTCTCCTTATACAATATTTCCATATCTCTATATACAAAATGGCCATACAACATGTACAAAGACATCTACAAAATACATAGTGGAGTTAGGCTTGGCACCGCCCAAAAAGGCCCGTGGTTTTCCTTTCGGTTTCCACGTACAAAAGCATTGAGTTATATTTTTCTACTTATTTTTCTATAAGCATCATGTGAAAGGTGAATCCACCGACCAAGGTTGTGTTGGAACTCCTTGGGCCTGAAAACCCAAAAACCAACAGATAGATATATTGAAAATGTCCCAATAATAGGGACCCGAGAGTCTAGGACGGAGCCATTATTCGGGGTCCAAGAAGATGACTTGAGTGGCCCAAAGAGAGTTCGGAGCCTGTCTCTAGGCCCAGAGTAATGGGCGTTGACTTAGTCTCGTGGTCCACCATGAGTTTAGCATGAGGTGGTTGTAACTAGTTCCTCCTTTTTAGGGGACGGTTTGGAGGCTTAGTAGGATAAGTAGCTATTTATTTGTCTTGATTAGGACACCTTCATCTATTTGGTCTAGGCATACAAGTCTTATGCTATATAACATTGCATTCAATCCCTTGCAATCAACTTACAATCTCACTATCAATACAAAATTGTCCCGCGACATATATTTATTTCACCATTATTTTACCTTGACCATCCATTTACTATTTCCTTTATTTATCGGGTTTAATAGTTCGGACCATTTGAGTTAATTAAATCTATCTTTGGTGCTTTCATGGAGAGCTCGACATACAAGCTCAAACGTGCTCCTTAACAACATCTCCAACGAAATCAACCATCACACAAAAACCTTGGATTGTATTGGTTTTGGTGGGGTATTTACATTAGGCCGGAATCTATTATTGTTACTAAGTCAACTGTCCGACCAACTTAACTGCTATTGCCTCCATATATGTTACTTTAGATTCTGAAAGTAATGTACCATAAAAAAGAATTTATTTATTTATTTTGGACATTGAAGGATACTCATAGCCACTATTTGCGTGTATGCATTGGACACAAATTAACCACATATAGAAGAGTATAAATCGCATTAAAACGACTCCTCATGCAAAGGATTCGACCGATAAATTGTTGGCAGGAATCGAACTTGTGCTCTTTTAATTTACTACGAAAATAATGTTTCACCTATTTCGCAATATTTATTTTGTTTTTGATGAAGTGTAGGGGTGGGGGTATATATTGTACCTGAAATTATAAGAAATAATAACCACTTTATATATTTTGATTGATATGTGGTACGAGGACAAAATAATTTATAAATCTGCACTCCATCATTGTCTGCCTTTATTTGCATGGCAGCAGAATTGAAACCATCAAACTAAACTAATAATAAATTAAAACAATATTTAATATCCATATAGCCATATAGGCCAATTTGTATGGTCTGTTTTTTGGATTATATTGCATGCATGCGGTTGAACGGAAGCTTAAAGGACCGAAATCAATATTTTACTATTAAAATATGACACTATATACTACGTAAATATAATAAAATGACATTAAGTTTCACATTCGTTATTAGCTATACTTTTAATTTAATAATAAGCATTATAATAGTTGGTATCAGATCACGGAAGAATCACTTTTTTCATAAGCATTAACTCAACTCCAAAACACATGATTATTGTAATAATTAAGGAATAAAATATTGAATGGATCGGACACTGTAGGGAATATGAATATATCAAGGCTGGGGTTTAATGTGGCATCTACATCTGGATTATTCTTGTGTGTGGTTGGTAAATGGTGATGATTTTAATGATCTTGTGACCAATAATTTATTATTCCCCTTTCTTAACATATATTCAAACTATCCACACTCTAAATTTTATTTTATATATAAATTATTTTCGTTACATAATTATTGTTTTTTTAATATATATAAATGACCCTGCACACATTGTCAAGAATCTCTATTACAAATTTTATTTTATTTTTATTTATTTCAATTTCATAAATCAAATTCTATATATTTTGATTAATTATTTTTCCGAGCTTGACTTGCATAATTATATATATGATTTTTTATAAATTAAATCAAACAAATTATGAGTGTCCAATGGTATCCGGGTTGGACTTCCATTTGGAAAATTATGAGTTCGAGCCTCAGTGGAGGCGTTATTGGTTCTCTGTGTTTCAGTAGGTTGAGAAAGTATATGAACAGATACTACAATGTAATAGAACCAGTAGCATTCAAAAAACAAAATCAAACAAATTTATGTACAAATTGGATAGTGACTAATTATGATGTCTTACTCCGATCCGTCTTTAATTTTTATTTTATTTTATCATTCCTAAAGGGATGAAACCAACCACGTATTTTTGCAAATATTATCAGTGTTTTCTAATTTAGATTTGTCTAATTGTAAAGTTTTGTTAGTTTTTTTTTTTTTCACTCTTTGTATCAGGAAAAAAACAAACTCTCTAGGAGAAATAATGAAGAATTTTGTTTTGAGAGAATAAACATAGGCATAACAAATCCATTTTACTAGAAATTAAAGAAAGCTCTATGACATGAACATATTGACATTATTCATCATGCATGAATTGAAACATTTGGTATCATACCAAAGCCATACAACTCATATTAACATGTGACAACACCTAACTAGAGATATATCATATATGAAAGTCGATAGTACTTCGGATCGGAGGTGGCTTCTGAGTCGGCAACAAACCAAACCACTTCTTTAACAACAACATCCTCTGTCTCGAGTATTTGTCATCCGAAGAGAAGCCAAGTGAGCTGCAAAAGTTAGTAAACACACTTCATAGTATATAACTTCATTCATCTACACTTATGCATTACCAAACAAAAACATACCATATATATATAGTTGCAAATTAATTGCTTTGGTGTAATAAGAGTACTTACCATTGACTCTAGTTTCTTCTCCTTGTTTTTGATCTTCTTCGTTTGATCTTCATTGTTAGTCTGTATGTTTCTTCTTCAACAAACCTTACAATGAATTCTGGCTTTCCAGTTAGGAGCATGAGACTTCCCATGAATAATCCAAAAAGAATACCACAACCGTAACCCATTGCCACAACTTTTACAGTGCATCCGGTAAAAAAACTCGAATCATCTTCTTGGTGGAGATCCTTTGGTGTGGGAAGTTGCGGTGCTAGGCCATTCTCACAACCTCGTGACAAAGGTTTTCCTTTCAATCCATCATTTCCTTGGTATGAATTTGCTTCAAATGTATTGAATTGTCGACCTTCAGGTATGCACCCCATGAGCTTATTATGTGATAGATTCAACACTTCAAGTGTTGTAATACTTGCTAATTGCCCAGGGATTGCTCCACTAATTTTATTTGATGGAAGGTCTAAGGATTCAAGCATGGATAAATTTCCAAGAGATATGGGGATGTGCCCAACCAACATGTTATGTGACAAATTTAATTCGCGCAATGCAAGAAGATCTCCAATGCTATTTGGAATATGCCCTTCAAATTTATTGCTTGAGAGATCAATGGCACTATACAAGATAAATATTATACTTACAAGTTGACGCTCTTGCCCCTTCATTTCCACCAGCATAGATTCTCCATAGTGATGTACAATACGCGCACTAATGGAACAACCCCTGTTGATAAGGTTGCAATAATAGGTGTCTTGGTATACGTCTTGTGGTATATATTTATCAACACTTGCCATCGCTTTAAAATACTTGAAAAACCATGTAGGCAAATCCCCTGTAAATTCATTGTAGGACAGGTCGAAGACACGAAGTTGAGGAAACAAATATCCTTTGATCATCGTACTTGTTATCGAACCGTTCAACTGGTTAAATCTCAAGCTAAGAACCTTTAATTTCGGAAGAGCTCCTAACCACATTGGAAATGTACCATTCAAGTTGTTGTGTCCAAGATCAAGAACTTCTAACACTTTACAATTGATTAAAGATTGCGGTAAATTTCCCTCCAATTGGTTATCACGCAAATTAAGTGTCAACAAAGAATTTGCCTTAAAAATTGTTGGAATTGAACCGTGAAATTGATTCTGGTGCAAGTCCAACACAACAAGATCTTCATTGGTGTTAACCAAACATTGGGGAATTAACCCAATTAACAAATTGTTGGCTAAATCCAAAATTAGGAGAGAACCTAAATTGCAAATGGTTGGAGACAAATGCATTGATGTTAAATTTCCACCCTTAGGTAGAAGTGTTCCGGTGAGTCTATTACTAGAAACGATTAGAACTTGGAGGTATGAGAGGTTCCCAATTGTCTGAGGTATTGGACCGGAGAAATTGTTTTTTGACAGGTCTATTTCAATCAAATGTTTCAACTTTCCTATGCAAGGTGGAAGTGATCCGTTGAGATTGTTGGAGAAAAGCTCTAGAGTACTGAGGCGTGTGAGGTTTCCAATTGTGTGAGGTATTGGACCATAGAGTTGGTTTTCTGACAACCATAAAATATCCAAATTTTGCAAGTTTCCAATTTGAGGTGGAAGCATTCCAAAAAGATTATTGGTGGAAAGATTTAGATGAATGAGACTTGTGAGGTTTCCAATTGTTTTAGGTATTGGACCAAAAAGACTATTTTTAGACAAATCTAAGAAAGTCAAACTCTGTAAGTTTCCTATTTCTGGTGGAATAGTGCCTGGAATCTTGTTCTCTTTCAAGGAAAGGTATACAAGATTTGTGAGCAAACCAATTTCTGATGGAATACTTCCATTGAAGGAATTTTTCTGAAGATCCAAAGAGTTTAGCTTGGTCCAATTGGAGAAAAAATTAGGTGAAATCTTATCAGAAAGAAAATTATCTGATAAATCAAACTCAGACAACATTGTCAAAGATGACAACGATGAAGGCAATACTCCAAAGAGTGAATTTGAACTCAAAACCAAGTAAGTGAGATTAGTGCAACCACCAAGCTCAGAAGGAATACTTGAATTCAAGTGGTAATTTTTCATAATATATAAGGTTTGAAGATTTTTGAGTTGGCCTATAGAATTTGGAATTTCTCCCTGAAAAGAATTGGACGACAAATCAAGATATTTGAGGTTGGACAGCTTGCCAATGTTAGGTGATAAAGGTCCTGAAAAGTCATTGAAAGAAAGATCAAGATACTCAAGTTTCTCCAAATGGGTGAACAATGACTCAGGGATTGATCCATTCAATTTGTTTCCAGACAAATGAAGGTCTTTGAGGCTTGATAACTTGCCAATACTATGTGATAAAGGTCCTGAAAAGTCATTGGAATAAAGATAGAGATACTCAAGTTTTTCCAAACTGGTGAACAATGACTCAGGGATTGATCCATTCAAATTGTTTGCAGACAAATCAAGATGTTTGAGGTTGGGCAACTTACCAATGTTAGGTGATAAAGGCCCTGAAAATTTATTGTCAAAAAGATCAAGATGTTCAAGCTCCTCTAAACGGGTGAACAATGACTCAGGAATTGATCCATTCAAATTGCTTTCAGACAAATCAAGATAAGTTAGGTTCCTACACCCTAATATGAAATCAGGGAACCTTGGTTCATATCCATTCCAGCTGGAGAAACTGAAATGTCTCAGCAAAGGAAAACTCTTACCCATAGACCAATAATCTAGAGCTTCCAAGTCATTTAATCCAAGGTCCAGGAACCATACCTTTCGAAGATTTCCAATCTGATGAGGAACAACTCCACTAAAATTGTTGTAGTAAAGGGAGAGGTACTGAAGCTCCCTCAACTTCCCAATCTGTGGCGGTATGCTTCCATCAAACGTATTGTTGCTCAAGTCCAAGAAGATCAAGTTGGACAAATCACCGATGGCGGGAGGGATTGATCCATTGAAGTTGTTTCCACTGATGTTGAAACCAGTGAGGCTTGACAAAGAAGTAAAATTGAGGTGGTAAAGAGTACCAGAGAGATGAGCATGAGGAAGATTGATCTCAGAAACAGTAGCTCCACCGCCATTGCAGACAATACCCGTCCAATTACACATGCTTCTTAGGTTGGATAGTGACCATGAATTGAGTGAAGAAGAAGAAGAAGAAGACAACATCAACAGGCTGCTCTTCCATTTGAGAAGAGCTTCAGCTTCTGTTCTTGCTGATGCTGTCGTCTCCCATGCAAAGAAACAAGGCAGCACAAGAAAGATGATCAATGCTGTATAGTTGTAACGAAAATTTCTCATAGTTGAGTTTTTTGGAAGAATCAAATTACTCTGGTACATGGTATGATACCAATGAAGTATATATGCTCTTTTATAGACAAGATATATTGAAGTTATGGCCTGATTGAATTGATACATGAGAACGTTGGCATTTCCATTTTGACAGCTCCGTATAAGATGGTGAAGAAAAGTGATACATTTCTATATACAACAAATAAAAGTCATTTCTAAGATGTTTTAATTTCTTCATACATTGCATTTGTCGTTGTGTTAGGAATAGACGACAAGAATTGATAGAAATTAAGGTTCATCGGATTGACTTTTTCTCTGCTAATGACTACCTCCCATCTATCAATTCCATTTGTACTGTATTAGGGAAGAAAAATCTGGTGAAACCAAAACTAAAGGCAATCTCTGAATGGGGTCCAATTGAATCTCAACTGAATTATTCACATTTTACAAGATGTGAATATCAGTACAAATGTACAATACATTAAAAAAAAATGTAATCCGATAGAGAACAAGTGCATATATACCAAAACTGAGGAGTTAACTCCAAAAATTAACAGTATAAATTCTCAAGAATAGATTATGAAATGCATGCATCCATATATATATATATATATATATATATATATATATATATATATATATATATATATATATATATATATATGCTCTATTTTCTATTATGTAATAACCGTAATTAAGAAACAAGTTTTCTCATAAGTTTTTTTTTTTTTTTTTTAATTAGACTCTTGAAACATGTTTCCACATTTCAATTAAACCATAAAATGCGTTTTTTAAAAAGTTTTTTATTTTTTATTTTTTACATTACAGAAACTACCCAAATGTTTTTGAAAAGTTTCCTTGAGTTCTCAAGAGGGATACATACTTCAAATTAAATATGAAGACACTCTACCTTAACAACACGTTCAGTTCACGTAATGAATTTGGAGGGAATAGGAATGTTATTCCACAGGGAATGGAATATAATAGAAATTGTATTCTATTGTTTGGTTAGCTAAAGAAATAGACTTTAGTAATTGTATTCCAGTGTTTGATTGGTTAAAGAAATAGAAATGGAATAGGTTTTGAAGACATAAATACCTTTATACATAATAATAATAATAATAATAATAATAATAATGAATATGATTATGATATACTAAATGTTGGTTTTATATATATATATATATATATATATATATATAGGCCGAAATGGATGAGTTAATTCGGTAGAGTTAGGTGCTAGGCGGTCGGTCGCTTAGGCAGGTTCCTAGGGAAAAAATCGCCACGGTCCAGAGGCGCCTAGCGCATAGGCGGTGTTTAGGCGGACACCTAGACCGATTTTTGCAATAGTGACCATAACTTTTAGGTATAAGAATATCCTATGTGGATAACACTTAATTAGCTTCAATGATTTAGGTTAGTGTACGTATCAAGATCAAACGTGTATTACTAAGTCAAAAGTTGCTGCCAATAGTTAAGATACCTATTACTGTAACAAAAGTTATAACTAGCAACATAAGCACAACTTTATTTCTTTAAACTTGTGTAGTAATCAACGTCATATTTCAATAACAAAATATTGGATTTGAACCTTTGTACGAGCGGCCAAAACTTTCTATTTGGATAACACTTCACTTGATGTGGGTTAGTGTACCTATCAAGAATAACGTTTATTACTAAGCCAAAAGTTACTATGATACAAAATTGTTAAGATGTTTATTACTGTACCAAAAGTTATAACTAACAATATAGGCCACAATCCAGGTCACTATTCCCACGGTGTCCCCGGGTGTTCAACATGTCCAGCTAGTTAGGCGCCCTCGGAGAACTCGGTCAGCGTCGGATCGTTCCAACGTTGCTGGGTTCTATCGTGAGGCGTCTAACGATGATAATGATTCTTCTGTCACTGGTAGAGTTGCTACCTTTGAGTCCGTGGGGCGTCATAGGGAGCCGGTGGGACATGGCTCGCCCCCTAGGACCACTCGGGTGCCCTTCGGTGGCAAGTACACTACATCTCAGGCACAACAGGAGCAGAGTAATGCGGCCTTTGGCACGCCTATCTCTTCTTAATACCTCTCTTTCTGATGATGCGATTCCTAGTTTGGAACGTGCGGGGTATTGCCTCGTGAGCCTCTTTTCAAAGATTGCACTTGTTGCTTAGAAAACATAAGCCTTTTATTTTATGCCTCCTTGAGCCGTTTTGTGGTACTGATAGATTGGATACCTTTAGGCTGCGGCTTGTCTTTGACTTTTCTTTTGCAGGGGTTAATGATAAGTTGTGGCTTTTTGGAACTCTAACCTGGTTTTGAATTTTGAATCTGAATCTGATCAGTCTGTATCTGTTGCATGTTGTCATGCTACTATTCCTTCTGCTTTCTAGCTTTCTTTTGTGTATGCTAAAACTAGGGACCCCGTAAGGGTTCCTTTATGGGCTGAGTTGCTCGCAGTCTCAAATAGGATCCCTTCGGGCGTTCCCTGGTTTGTGGTGGGTGATTTTAACTGCTTGCTAAATGTGGATGAGAAAAAATGGGGTCTCCCTTATCCTCATAGGAAGACTACTGATTTTCGAGAGTGTGTTAGTACGTGTGATCTGATTGACTCTTCTGCCTACGGCTCCCCCTACACTTGGTGGAATGGGAGACGTAAGGACGCTGCTATTTGGATGCGCTTGGATCGGTTTCTTTACACCTCGGTGTGGGAATCGATATCCAGGACATCCGTTCAACATTTGTCTAGGACCACGTCTGACCACTGCCCATTACTTGTTACTTCAGAAGTTATAACTGCTCAACCCGTTCCAAAACATTTTATTTTTCTTAATGTATGGACCAAACATGAGGATTTTCAGCGGGTGGTTAGAGAAAGTTGGGAGGTTCCTGTTGAGGGAACCCCAATGTATGTCTTGGCTACTAAGCTTTCCAGGTTAAAAAAAAAGCCCTTGCTCCTTGGAGTAGGGAAACCTTTGGTAATATTTTTTCTAAGTTGCAGGAACTGGAAGATAAGGTACAGGTGCTAGAAGAGGTGCTGCAATAGAATCCTGATGATGATAGGGCACTCATTGACTATAAGGAGAGTGTGGCCCTCTTGCAAAGATAGGTTTCCATCGAGGAAGAATACTGGCAACAAAAGACTCACATGGTGGCCGTTTAGGAGGGTGATAAGAACTCCAAGTTCTTTCGCTCGATGGTAAAAGAACGAAGGAGGAAACTCTATATTCATAAGGTAAAAGATGACACAGGACAATGGATTGAGGATAGACAGGGGATAACACAAAATGATGTCTCCTTTTTTGAGGGTTTATTCACTGCGGAGGCAGGTACTTTTGATTTGTCTAAACTTGATTGTGTGCCGCGTCTGGTTACTGATATTGATAATGCTATGCTTATTGCTATCCCCGAGGAAGATGAGATTAAAAATGTTGTGTTTGCCATGAATTCTGTTAGTGCCACAGGCCCTGGCGGGTTTTCTGGGGCATTCTATAAATCTTGTTGGGAGATTGTTAAGGGGGATGTGGTTAATATATTCAGGAGTTACTTCCTTGGTATGGAGTTCACCAGGTCTATTACTCACACCTCCATTGTGTTATTGCCCAAAAAAGCCAGCCCGGAGACATTTGCTGATTATAGACCCATTAGCTTGTGCAACTTTAGTAGTGAAATTGTCACTAAGTTAATGGTAGTCAGGTTGGCTTCTGTTCTCCCGAGATTGTTGTCTCCTCACCAAAGTGGTTTTGTCTCGTGGCGGTCAATCACTGATAATATTTTGCTTGCCTCTGAGATGTGCCATGGTATAAAACTAGGGAATCAGGATGTAGTGCTGAAGCTAGACATGGCTAAGGCCTATGATTGGGTTTCCAGGTTTTTCCTTGTTTCTGTGATGCGTAGGATGGGATTTTCTGAAGTCTGGATTGACTTGGTCTATCGTGCGATCTCAAATGTGTGGTACTTTGTCATTGTCAATGGGGTCAAGGAGGGCTTCTTTACCTCGTCTCGTGGGTTGAGGCAAGGAGACCCACTGTCCCCTAGTCTTTTTATCATTGTTGTAGAGATCCTTTCTATGTACATTGCTCAAGTCCATCTGGACGAGGGGGTCCCTAGGTTCTCTCAGCCTGCTGGTACCCCTCATATTCATCACTTAGCTTACGCTGACGATGTTATTATTTTTAGTACTGGGAGGCAGGGGGCAATCTGCAAAGTCATACGCGCTTTAAAAGATTATGAGGAGATTTTTGGCCAAATGGTCAGTTTCCCTAAGAGTGCTTTTTATATGCATCCTGACACTTCGGGTCGGGTTATTCGTAGGATTGGGGATATCACTAGATGCATTCATAGGTCCTTCCCTTTCACTTATCTTGGGTGTCCTATTTTTGTGGGGAGGAAGAAGTGTGTCTATTTTTCATCTGTGGTGGACATGGTGAAGGCCAAATGCCTTGGATGGCAACGTCGATTGCTATCCAAGGGGGGGAAAGCGGTTCTTATTACTTCTGTTTTGCAGACTATCCCTTTATATCTCTTTGCAGTTTGTCCTCCTTCTAAACAGGTTATCCGTGATCTTGAGCGGTGTTTCGCGAACTTCTTTTGGCGGCAGTCAGGAGGTGCACGCTACAATTGGGCGTCATGGAAAACGCTCTCCCTCCCTAAAAAGGAGGGTGGTGTGGGCTTCCTTGACCTGGACTTATTGGTACGTGCATCGAGTGCAAAGCTTTGGTGGAATTTTTGCAAGGTGTATTCACTGTGGGGAAGTTTCATGACTGCTAAGTACTGCCGCCGAGCTACCCGGTGGCGAAATCAGTGCGAAGTTCTGACTCACCCACTTGGAAGCGGATGCTCGGCGTCAAGAATGAGGTGGAGGCAGTCTTGGGATGACGCCTAACTCACGGCGATGTTAACCTTTTGTGGGATAACTGGCCTGGACTTGGCCCGCTAGGACGCCTTTACCCCTTCCCGAGGGTTGAGTACTCTGGTGATTTGCTGTCTGACTTCATCTAGGACGGGGAATTGGACTTGTCGACCTATGATGATTTTCTGCCGGCTGGGTTGGAGGCTGACATGTTCCGGTTGGGTCAAAGAGTGGCTGACATCCCTATTTGGCGGGTAGCTACAGACGGTTTGTTTTCTTTCTCTTCTACAAAATCATTATTAAGACCTGAACCGGTGAATTCTGATTCTCTTTTGAGGGCATGTTAGCATAAGCACCTGCCCTTTAAGGTGTCATTTCTCGTTTGGCATGTATTACGGGGCTGTTTGCCCACTGATGATGCTATAGCTAGATTTGGGCACCTTATTGTTTCCAGATGCTGGTGATGCAGTAACCCTGCTAGGGAGACCATTGATCACATCTTTTATGCGGGGGACACTGCCTGGGCTGTATGGGGATTTTTTATGGGATCACTTGGCTTGTGATTCAGTCATCGGGGTCTACGGACGCTGTTGACTAGGTGGAAGCGGGTGGTTTCACATAATCGTCTTGTTGCTTTTGTTATTTGCAGTTTGCCTTATCTCATCCTTTGGGAGTTATGGAAACATAGGGATGCATGCTTGCATGGCAGAGGACCTCCGAGTGTGCCTCAAGTGGTGTATGGCGTTGCCAAAGGGGTGGCTGAGTGTCTCTTTAGGCGTTGGCCGCGGGAACACATTCTACCACCAAACTGGTCTGTCATTCTGTCCTATATAGATTCCGCTGCCCCGCGATGCGTGGTTCGTGCTATTAGATGGGATCCCCCTCTTGATGGCTCTATAAAGCTTAATCTCTCATACTCGGAGTCTGTGGGGGAGACTGCTGCCTTGGTACGTAATTCAGGGGGGGGGGGGGGGGTTTCTGCTACGACCTGGCCATTTCGGTAGTCGGCGGGTTTCGGGATTTTTTTTTTCATGTTATGCACCGCTGTCTTGAATGGTGTTTAGCCGAGGGTTTTAGGTCCCTGGTCCTAGAGTCTTTTTTGCCTGAGCTTAAGAGCTATGTTGATCCCTCCACTCCTAGTCCATGGGTTTTTGACTCTGAAGTGTCACTGCTTCGGTTTCTTTGTTCCTGTGCATCTGTTTCTATTCTTCAGTGTTTGCCGCAGGGTAATCTCCATGTGGCTGCATTGGCAGATTGGGTTGGGGATAAGGATGGGGAGTTTATTTTTCTTAATTTGTTTGACTTACCGTCGAGGGTGCGTGCTTTGCTTGTTCATGATGATGTCCCCTCGGTGTTTTTTTAGGATTATGACCCACCTTGAATTGAGGCTCCAGTTTTCTTGATGTATTATGTTTTATTGAAATATGAAAAAAGGGAAAAAGAAAAGAATGAGAAAATGAAAAGGAAAGAAAAAAGAAAAAGAAAATGAAAGAATTATAAAAGATGTGAGAAAAGAAAAAGGAAAGAAAAGGAAAATGAAAGAAGACAAAAGAAAAGAAGAGAGAGAAGGAAAAGTAATCTGCCAGGAGGCAATGATGGCTTGGCATTTGTCAGGACTAGCCTCAACAACGTAGGTGTCAGCGGTACAAGAGGCACCCTAGTCCGGGCTGAACGGTGGTTGGGCGGGATTTATCAAATTCGTTGACCTAGTCAGGCTTGCTGCTGGCCAATAGTAGCTGAGTCCCTTCTAGGCTCCGGGTAGGGCGGGTCATATATGATGGGGGTTGCCTTGTTGTTCGTGTCTGCCTGTTATTTCCTTATACACTGCCTATTGAAACATGATTATGAGTTGTATTGGTTTAGGAAATGTGGCGTTGCTTGTTCTGTCACGTTTTTATTTTGCAGGTCTTTCCTTGGCTTCTGAGGTATTGCTGGTCTTAAGCTTGTTTGGTTTTGCCCTTGTGGGTTTCTTTAAATAGACTACGCCTCAACGTTGGTGCCAGCGGTAAGAAATTGCATCCTAGCCCGGGCTGAACGGTGGCCGGGTAGGGGTTTATCAAATCCGTTAGCGGTTTGTCTAGGCTTGCTGCTGACCCATAGTAGCTAATCCCGTTAGGGTTCTGGTTACTACGATATTGGTGCGGCTGGCCTATATGTGGCATGTGTGCCATTTATTATTTTTGAGCCTGCGTGCCTCCTTTGTGGTTTGTTTGCCTTGTGTTGATAGTTGGGCAGCTGTTGTTGTGTATTTCTGCCCTTGTGACATAGCCCTGCAGCAGGTTATGCTGCCGGATATCTTACAAAATGGGCTAGCATTCTTGGAGGTTCGAAGCGTGGGCGTTGAGCGTTGCGGCCGTTGGCACTGTTGCATTGTTGCATTGTGGTGCAGAGTCGCAGCATTGCAACTTTGTGGTGGTGCGGCATGATGGCGCACTAGTACATGGTGGCACGCAGGTGCAGCTTTTCTCCTATAAACAGTCGTTATGCTGCTGGTTTTTGCGAAAATTGCGCCTCCATTTCAGCACCCCTATTATTTATTTATTTTTCTTCATTTATTATTCCTTTGGTCTGGCCTACTAGTTGGGCTTGGGTCCTTTATTTTCTTCTTCCATTCTTAAGGCCTGGCCTGTTAGGGCTTGAGTCCATCCTTTATTTTAGTTTCTTTATATTAGTATAGGCCCAATCTCAAGGGCTGAGTATGTGTTATTGTCACTTTTGGACCATCAGTTGTAAGACATTTTAATTCCTTAATTTGCTTAATAAATTTTTTTTTTCAAAAAAAAAAAACAATATAGGCAGAATTTTATTTATTTAAACTTGTGTAATAACCAAGGTCATATTTCAATTGATAAATTTCTATGCTAGAAAGTTGTAATGAAACCAAAATTAAAGGCAAAATAGTCAAGAAAAGGAAAGGTGAGGAATTTGCGGAGCCTTTAGTGTGAAGTCAACCATTTCACATTATCAGTCAATTAAGATCATCATTCACTGTATGACTAGAAATTCACAATTTTTCATCCAATTTCTATTCAATATAATAATATATTTTTTAAAGGCCAGAATCTTAGAGAGATGGTATTTTTTTTTTTCAAATTATTGGCAAAAATTAAAATAGATGCTATTTATAATCATTTGGAGTCCATGAATTGACTGGCTAAAATTCATCGCCATTGCCAACAATGCCCCTCCAATTACAAATGTTTCTTAAGTTGGATACTGACCATGAATTGAGTGAAGAAGAAGAAGACAACATTAATAAGCTGCACTTCCATTTGAGAAGAGCTTCAGCTTCTGTTCTGGATGATGTTGTCGTCTCTGTCTGTTAAGGTTTTTTTCTTTCTTTTCTTTTTTCTGATTTGTGGGGCTTTGTTGCTCCTAGACTTTTGGCTACTCAATAAAACTCTTTTTTTGAGCAAAAAAAAAAAAAAAAAAAAGAGTGTTATATGGTTGCAACGAAAATTCCCCTGCCCATACTTGAAATTTTTTGAAGAACAAAATTACTCTGGTACATGGTATGATACCCAAGAAATTTCCCATACTTGAGTTTATAGACAAGTTGATATATTGAAGTGATGGCCCGATTGATCGATACATGACAACGATGGTATTTCCATTTTCATAGTTCCATATAAGATAGTGAAGAAAAGTGCTACATTTCTACTAATACAACAAATAAAAGTCTGTCATTTCTACAATGTTTTCGTCATACACTGTACTGCATTTGTCGTTGTGATAAGAATTAATGGAAATTTGGTTAGGAAGAGACAAGAATTTATAGAAATTAATGTTCCTCGAATTGGATGCCATCGAAGTATAGACACATCTACACTACATATCATCACTTGTATTATTCATATTAAAGGTCCCACTGAAAGCATGCAAATTGTTCAAGTTATAATCTATTGATAGAAATTAAAGTAATAATCTTTTCCCCAATAGCCAAAATAAATCCATTTTAGAAAGAAAGCTCTAAACACTAACAAAGACATTGTTCATCATGCCTGAATTGAACATTCATAATCATACCAAAATCATATATCTCATATTAACATATATGTGTCACAACACCAAGCTAGAGATCTGAAATCAATCAGTACTTGAGATGTAGCTTCCGAGCCAACAACAAAGCATGCACATCTTCAACATCACTCTCTGTCTTGAGTATTATATTTGTCATGGGGAGAGAAGCGAGCTGCAAAAATTAGTAAACACGTCACAGTATTCTCCTTCATGCATCTACACTTATGCATTACCAAATAAAAACATACCATATATAGTTGTAAATTGCTTTGGTGTAATAAGATTACTTACCATTGACATGCAAAACTAGTTTCTTCTTCTTCTTATCTTTGATCTTCTTCGTTTGACCTTCATTGCTAGTTTGTATGCTTCTTCTTCAACAAACTTTGTAATGAATTCTGGCTTTCCAGTTAGGAGCATGAGACTTCCCATGAATAATCCAAAAAGAATACCACAACCGTACCCTATTGCCACAACTTTTACCGTGAATCCGCTCAAAAAACTAGAATCATCTTCATAGTGGAGATCCTTTGGTGTAGGAAGTTTCGGTCTCATGTCATTCTCACAACCTCGTGATAAAGGGTTTCCTTTCAATCCATCATTCCCTTGATATGAATTTGCTTCAAATGTATTGAATTGTTTGCCTTGAGGTATGCATCCCACAAGCTTATTATGTGAGAGATTCAACACTTCAAGAGATGAAATACTCCCTAATTGCCCAGGGATTGGTCCGCCAATTTGATTTGAAGAAAGGTCTAAGGATTCAAGCACAGATAAATTTCCAAGAGACGCTGGGATGAAGCCAGTGAACATATTATGTGATAGATTTAACTCACGTAGTGCAAGAAGATCTCCGATGCTATTTGGAATATGGCCTTCAAATTTATTGCATGAGAGATCAATAGCACTGTACAAAATGAATATTGTACTTACAAGCTGACGCTCTTGCCCCTTTATTTCAACCACCATAGAATCTCCATAGTGATATATAATACGCTCATTATTTGAACAACCACTATGGAAAAGGCTACAATTAAAGTAGTCTTGATATATGTCTTGTGGTATTCTATAATTATCAACACTTGTCATGGCACTAAAATCCTTGAAAAACCATATGGGCAAATCCCCAGAAAATTCATTGTAAGAGAGATCGAAGACACGAAGTTGAGGAAATAAATACCCTTTGATCTTCGTATCAAGTTAAGAACCTTTAGATTTGGAATATCTCTTAACCACATTGGAAATGTACCACTCAAATTGTTGTGTCCAAGATCAAGAACTTCTAACCCTTTACAATTGATTAAAGATCGTGGCACTGCACCCTCTAATTGGTTATCATACAAACTAAGTCTGCTCAATGAGTTGCAATCCTTAAATTGTGTTGGGATTGGCCCATAAAATTGATTTTGGTGCAAATCTAACACAGACAGATCTATGTTTACCAAACATTGAGGTATTGGCCCAGTAAACAAATTGTTTGCCAAATCCAAAATTATGAGAGAACGTAAATTGCAAATGGTTGAAGAGATAAGATTTGATGTTGGATTTCCACTATCAAACATAAGTGTACCAATGAAATTGTTTGTGGAAAGGCGTAGGGCACCAAGTTGTGTGAGGTTTCCAATCATTTGAGGTATTGGACCATAAAAGTTGTTTCTTGACAAGTCTAGAATAAACAAATCCAATAAGTTTCCTATTTGAGGTGGAAGTGTTCCAGTGAAATTGTTATAGGAAATCTGAATATATCTGAGGCTTGTGAGGTTTCCAATAATCTCAAGTATTGGTCCATAGATATTGTTTTTTGACAATTCTAGATTTTCCAAACTTTTCAAGTTTCTTATTTGAGGTGGCAACATCCCGGTGAGATTATTATTGGAAAGCACTATATTAGAAAGGCCAGTGAGGTTTCCAATTGCTTGTGGTATTGGACCAAAGAAGCTGTTGTTTTGGAAGTCTAGAAGAGTCAAACGATGCAAGTTTCCAATTGTTTCAGGTATTAGACCAAAGAGGTTGTTTTCAGACAAGTCCAGCTCATTCAATTCTTGCATATTTCCTATCTGTGGTAGAAGTATTCCATTAAAATTGTTGTTCAAAAGGGTAAGAAATTTGAGCCTTGTGAGGTTTCCGATTGTATGAGGTATTGGACCATAGAAGTGGTTGTCTGATAAGTCTAGCACATACAAATTCTGCAAGTTTCCTATTTGGGGTGGAATGGTGCAATGGAACTTATTTCCATACAAGGAAAGGTATTCAAGATTTGTGAGCAAACCAATTTTAGATGGAATACTGCCATTGAAGGAATTGTGTTCAAGCCTCAAAACTGTTAGCTTGGTCCAATTGGAGATGAGATGGGGTGAAATATTACCGGAAATAAAATTAGATGATAAGTCCAGATTAGACAATTTGGTCAAAGATGACAGTGATGAAGGAATAGTTGAATTCAAGAGATTTTGGCTAATGTCCAAGACTTGAAGATCTTTGAGTTGGCCTATAGAATATAGGATTTCACCTTGGAATTGATTGTATGACAGTAGAAGATGTTCGAGGCTAGACAGATTGTTAATGTTAGGTGATAAAGGCTCAGAAAATTCATTGTAAGAAAGATCGAGATACTCAAGCTTCTCCAAGTTGGTGAACAATGACTCAGGGATTGATCCATTCAAACTAGTTTCACTCAAATCAAGATAAGTTAGGTTGCGAGAAGATAGTATAAAATCAGGAAACGATATCAATGTACATGTACCCCCGGCCAAACTGAAATGTCTCAGCATAGGAAAACTCTTAACTTTAGACGACCAGTCAGAAGCATCTAAAAACCAATTATACCCAAAGTCTAGGAACCATACCTTTTGAAGGTTTCCAATCTGATGAGGAATAACTCCCCTCATATCGTTGCCACTAAGGTCCAGGTACTGAAGCTCCGTCAAGTTCCCAATCTGTGGCGGTATGCTTCCATCAAACCTATTGTAGCTCAAGTCCAAGAAGACCAAGTTGGATAAATGACCAATGGCAGGAGGGATTGATCCATTGATGTAGTTACCACTGATGTTGAAACCAGTGAGGCTGGGAAAAGAAGTAAAATTGAGGTGGTGAAGAGTACCACAGAGATGAGCATAAGGAAGATTGATCTGAGAGACAGCTCCACCACCATTGCAGACAATGCCCCTCCAATTACAAAGGTTTCTTAGGTTGGATAGTGACCATGAATTGAGTGGAAAAGAGGACCCGTCGTCACACATTGACAGGCCGCTCGTCCATTTCAGAAGAGCTTCAGCTTCCGTTGTTGTTGATGCTATCGTCTCCAATGCAAAGAAACAAGGCATCAACAGAAAGATGAGCGCTGCATAATTCCAACGAAAATTTCCCATTTTTTTTTTCCCTTTTGTTGGTATGACGAATATGACAAGTTATGATACCAAGAAAGATAAGGAACCTTTTAAAGATGAAACCACACTGCGTGATGGATGGGTACATTGACCCAAGACTTTTACCAATTTTTGCATTTTATTTTACAGAATTTATATTAATTAGCTTTAATTTATTGGAAAATACCCTCATTATTTATATTAGAGGCTATTATATATATATATATAGGGATGCACTCAGGTGCGAATAAGTGCCCAGGAAGGAAATGCGAACGAATCAGCGCGCGACACGTGTCCAGATCTAATAACTTAAAAAAAAACGCGGTGGCATTTTCGTAAATAATTGAACATCGAAGTGCAAGTAAAATCACTTACAAGTGCACCTACTTTAACCTATAAGTGCATGTAATTTTGCCTTGTTAGCATTCACTTTCCGCAAACATTCATGCACCTGGGTGTGCTTATATAACTATATGTGCAACTATTTATAACTATAGGTGCAACTACTTATAACTATAGGTGCACCTACTTTCACCTATAAGTGCATGTAATTTTGCCTTGTTAACATTCATTGATATGAGTTCAGCGGGTAGTAGTAATACCCCTGAAAACCACTCGCAAACATTCATACACCTATGTGCAACTACTTATAACTATTTGTGCAACTACTTAGAACTATAGGTGCAACTACTTAGAACTATAGGTGCAACTAAGTATTGATGCTCAGTGTAAATTTTTACTTGCACCTATAATACATTTTACATGCACTTGTAATACATTTTACTTGCACTTCGATGTTTAATTATTTACGAAAATGCTACCGCGTTTTTTTTAAAAAATCAGTGTTTCTCATCCATTAGATCTGTACACGTGGACGAACAAAATTCATTCGTATTTCGCGCCTGGGCGAAGCATTCGCACCTGAGTGCGATTCTATATATATATATATATATATATATATATATATATATACTAGTATTTTTTTTGCGCGATGCGCAAAAAATCAGTGCCCAATATTAATACATTATATTAAAATTTTAAATTTATTTAAATTTTAGATATTTAAGTTATTCTAAATAATAATAATAATAATAATAATAATAATAATAATAATAATAATAATAATAATAATAATAATGTAAATCATTTTTATAAGGGAAAATGACACTTTTTCCCCTTAAGTTATATACTTATAGCACTTTTTCCCCCTGAATTATTTAAATGGCTCTTTTTCCCCCTGAAATGTTAAATGGACATATTTACCCTCTAACAAATTATTACTATAATTTGGTTCAAACCAAAGAGATACTATAGCAACCAAACCAAAATATTCCAATTACAATTTAGAATCAAATGCGATATTTAGAGTTTATATATATATATATATATATATATATATATATATATATATATATATATATATATATATATATATATATATATATATAAACATAATAAGTCACAATCAAATTTATATCTTTGATTTATGTCACTCTTTTGTATGCTAATAACTATATCCATTTTATTTTAAATGTTGTACACTCCAATGTTATTAGACAAAATTGTCCCTATTACATTCTTGTTAGACAAAATTACCCTTACACTTTTATAATTTTTAATTCTGACATTAATAACTCCATCATTATTATCATACACATATATCTATCATATCTTTTTCTTATTCTTTAATTATTATTTTATTAAAATTATTAAATATATAATTAATTTAATGGTTGATTATATTTTAATTAAATTTTTATAAATTTTTAATCATATATGTGTGTTTAATATATATATATATATATATATAATTTAAATTATAATTTGTAATTATTTTTATTTATCAATATTTTAATATTAGGCATTATTTTCGCGCATCGCGCGCGTAAAAAATGATAGCTAAGTAGTAGATATATTGGAGTGATGCATGGCGTTTCCATTTTCCACAGCTCCGTATAAGATGGTAAAGAAAAATGATACATTATTATATTTCTACTAATACGCGTCCAACAAATAAAAGTTATCATATCTATATACTTTGAATTGGTCATTGTGATAGGAAATTTGGAAATTTTGTTAGGAAGAGAGAAGAATTTATAGAAATTAAGGGTGTATTCAATCATGACTTTGGTTAGAGCAACGACTTCTCAGTATGTTCTTCGTACTTGGTTTTCTAGGTATCCTACTTGTATTCGTCATTTGACTATTTGTGATTAATTTATTTCAATTTGGCTTTCAAAAAAGAACATCATAGACTAAGAGTGAGAGAATAAAATTTGGAAATACATATAGGAGAACTCATAAGATAATACTCCATAATAATAAATATAATATTAGTGCAATAATAAATTTAAAAATAAATAAAAATAAAAATAAAAATAAAAAAGGAGGGAGGGAAGCCATGAAGGGCGAAGACCATCGTCATGCGAACAACAAGGAGCTTCAACCAACGTAAATCTCGTTTTTGCTGTTCCTTTCTTCCCTCTCTGCTTCTTACATTATTTCTTTATTTTTACTATTATTATTATTATTATTATTATTACTCCTTGTTGTGTTATATACATTTGTACGGATTGTGAACAATGAAAATTGAATAAAATATAGGATGTCCTCTGATTCTTCAATTGATGTCTTGAACACTCTACCATTGAAGGGTTTCTGGGTTTTAAGTGGCTTGATCTTCAAAGAAGGACTTGTATATATAGCTTGCGGATTTTAAGTGGCTTGATCTTCAAAGAAGGACTTGTATATATAGCTTGTTCTTCTTGAAGGGCTTCCGGGTTCAAATGGTTTGATCTTCAATGGAGGTTTGGATCAATAGGCATGATTAGATTGAAGGAGGGGCTTTTACTTTCAGGATCATATTTTTATTGTGATCTCTGAATAAACTTTCTATGATTTTTTCCTATGATGTCTGATTACATAGAAATGAAAGGCCCTATTTATAGCTGTAGGATAGAAGAGTTTTGATAAACTCAAACTCTTTTGATATTATCTAATTAACAAATTAGATAATATCAATATTATCCATACATAAATTCAAATATACTAATATTGATAAATAATCAATATTTATCAAAATTTAAGTGAATACAAATGCCCCATCGAGACTTGCTTGTACACCACTTGAGAGCATATAACACTCAAAAGTATGTAGTGCAAGAAAGTCTCGACACTACAACTTAAAGATATAAGGTCGTTTCAACTCGTGCCAAGGAGCCTTGAAAGATATGAGGCCGTTTAAACTCGTGCCAAGGAGTCTGAGGCCGTTTAAACTCGTGCAAGGAGTATCATTTAGCCTCTTTCATTTCAAATTTCATACAGGGTTTGCCCCCATATCGGTTGAAAAGTGCCTATGAAGAGATGAGAGGCAGATCTGTCTCACTGGGCGTGCCAATTTGTGAACAAAGAAAATTGAATAAAATAAATTAAATTCAAAATTGTGAATTACAAATAAAGCATCAATGCGTTGTGAGTACAAGTCCCTGGGATGTCCTCTGATTCTTCAATTGATGTCTTGAACACTCCACCATTGAAGGGTCTCCGGGTTTCAAGTGGCTTGATCTTCAAAGAAGGGCTTGTATATATAGCTTGTTCTTCTTGAATGGCCTCCGGGTTCAAATGGCTTGATCTTCAATGAAGGTTTGGATCAATAGGCATGATTGGATTGGAGGAGGGCTTTTACTTCCAGGATCACATTTTTATTGTGATCTCTGAATAAGCTTTCTATGATTTTTTCCTAGGATGTCTGATTACATAGAAATGAAAGGCCCTATTTATAGCTGTAGGATAGAAGAGTTTTGATAAACTCAAACTCTTTTGATATTATTTAATTAACAAATTAGATATACATAAATTCAAATATACTAATATTGATAAATAATCAATATTTATCAAAATTTAAGTGTCTACAAATGCCCCTCGAGATTTGCTTGTATACCACTTGAGAGCATATAACACTCAAAAGTATGTAGTGCAAGAAAGTCTCGACACTACAACTTAAAGATATAAGGTCGTTTCAACTCATGCCAAGGAGCCTTGAAAGATATGAGGCCGTTTAAACTCGTGCCAAGGAGTCTGAGGCCGTTTAAACTCATGCCAAGGAGTATCATTTAACCTCTTCTGTTTCAAATTTCATACAGGGTTTGCCCCCATATCGGTTGAAAGTGCCTATGAAGAGTTGAGAGGCAGAGCTGTCCCACTGAGCGTGCCAATTTGTGAACAAAGAAAATTAAATAAAATATATTAAATTCAAAATTCTGAATTACATATCAAGCATCAATGTGTTGTGAGTACAAGTCCCTGGGATGTCCTCTGATTCTTCAATTGATGTCTTGAACACTGCACCATTGAATGGTCTCCGGGTTTCAAGTGGCTTGATCTTCAAAGAAGGGTTTGTATATATAGCTTGTTCTTCTTGAATGGCCTCCGGGTTCAAATGGCTTGATCTTCAATGGAGGTTTGGATCAATAGGCATGATTGGATTGGAGGAGGGCTTTTACTTCCAGGATCACATTTTTATTGTGATCTCTGAATAAGCTTTCTATGATTTTTTCTTAGGATGTCTGATTACATAGAAATGAAAGGCCCTATTTATAGCTGTAGGATAAAAGAGTTTTGATAAACTCAAACTCTTTTGATATTATTTAATTAACAAATTAGATATACATAAATTCAAATATACTAATATTGATAAATAATCAATATCAATATTTATCAAAATTTAAGTGTCTACAAATGCCCCTCGAGACTTGCTTGTACACCACTTGAGAGCATATAACACTCAAAAGTATGTAGTGCAAGAAAGTCTCGACACTACAACTTAAAGATATAAGGCCGTTTCAACTCATGCCAAGGGGCCTTGAAAGATATGAGGCCATTTAAACTCGTGCCAAGGAGTCTGAGGCCGTTTAAACTCGTGCCAAGGAGTATCATTTAGCCTCTTCCGTTTCAAATTTCATACAGGGTTTGCCCCCATATCGGTTGAAAGTGCCTATGAAGAGATGAGAGGCAGAGCTGTCCCACTGGGCATGCCAATTTGTGAATAAAGAAAATTGAATAAAATATATTAAATTCAAAATTCTGAATTACATA